CTAGAGCAAGCATTTACTGTGATGCAGAAGAAGGTGGAGAAAGTAGAGGGTAGGAACAAGGGCTTGATTTGGTACGTGTCAAGCTTTAGATGCTTGTTAAATATTCAAATGGAGATGATGAGTAGGTTGGATATACAAGACTAGAATTTAAGAAAGAGATCAGAGTTAGAAATAAAATTGGGTATTTCAAATCAAGAGACTGAATGAAATCGATTAAAATATAGGGATAAAAAATGAGTAAGTTTAAGAACCGAACCCGGGAACTTTTCGACGTTTATAGATGGGAGAGATTCCCAACACTGAGCATAGGAGAATGAGAAGCCTTAAGTAGGAGAGAACCAAGAGTGAATGGAGCCCTGTGAGCCCTGTGGGCCCAAAGAAAGAATAAATAACTAACAAATGCTGCTGATACACTTTATTTTTCAAAGGCAATTTTGTTTTTGCAGAGAACTTTTTTGTGGTTGTTGTTTCTCTTTCTAAATGCCTTGGTGGGGTAGCTTGAGGATATTTTACTGATCTCATTCCACCCCACTCAGGCCTCTTACCGTCTTAAGACAGCTTCTCTCCATATCTTCCCAAAAGACTTAGCTTAATCATTTCTAGGACAAGGAAGGCCATTACATGAAACACACAAGTGAAATTGTTTGAATTAAAATGAAACATATTCTCTAGCCCACCACTGGGTCTGTTTTTACAAAAGACCTCCTTTCCAACTTTATTCTGTTTGCTAAGAATATCAGGAATCAAAATCACATTTCAAGCCCTAGCCGGTTTGGCCTGTGGACTGAAAGGTACTGAATTGTTCTGGTCAAGGGCACATGCCCCGATTGTGGGCTCAATCCCCAGTAGGGGGCATGCAGGAGGCAGCCAATCAATGATTCCCTTTCATCATTGATGGTTCTGTCTCTCTCCCCCTCTCCCTTCCTCTCTGAAATCAATAAAAACATACATTTAAAAAAATCACATTTCAAAACTGATATTTCTACCATTGCCACATTGTACAAGTATGATTTACAAGTGGACAGTACCTCATAATGGAAAATTCACTTGATTTGAAGTTAGGAAAGTATCAGTTGTTTGCTGGAGTCCTTGCTCACTTTTTTATTGGTTCTTGCAATTTATCTGCAGATTTTAAAAAATTGATCTTAAGATGATAATTTAATTCTCATTTTCTAATCTATTTATTTACTTATTCACTTATTTATTTATTTATTTAGTCTCATTTCTTTGGCCAAGGCACCAGTTAATTAATGAATAATAGCAGTGACTGGAGAAACCTTGTCTTATTCCTGACTTTCACAGTATTGCTTTCAAAGATTCAGCCTTTAAGTATGATGTTTTCTGTAGCTTCCCACAAATTCTTAAAATTCTGAGTGAGTATTGAATTTTATCAACATTTTATTACATCTTATTTATTTATTTAGTCTCATTTCTTTGGCCAAGACACCAGTTAATTAATGAATAATAGCAGTGACTGGAGAAACCTTGTCTTATTCCTGACTTTCACAGTATTGTTTCCAAAGATTCAGCCTTTAAGTATGATGTTTTCTGTAGCTTCCCACAAATTCTTAAAATTCTGAGTGAGTATTGAATTTTATCAACATTTTATTACATCTTCTGACATGATCATATGTCATTTTGCCTTAGTCAGTGTGATGGATTCCACTGATAAATTTTTATGATGTGGGCCTAGTCTCACAATCCTGAGATAAGTGATAATCAGTCATGACATGTTTTGAATACATGAATGGATTTGATTTGTTAATTTTCATTTAGGATCCTTGCAACTTTATTCACAAGTAACACTGGTCTATAATGTTCTCTGTTTTAAAAAACATTTATTTATTTATTTATTTATTTATTTATTTGTTGTTGTTGTTGTTAATCCTCACCCAAGGATATTTTTCCATTGATTTTCAGAGAAGAATAGAGAGAAACATCAATGTGAGGGAAACACATCGATTGGTTGCCTCCCACACGTACCCTGACCAGGGCCGGGGATGGAGCCTGAAACTGAGGTAGACTTTGAGACAAAGTGATAATGAGGGGCATTTCATAATGATAAAGGGATGAATTTATTTGGAGGCATAACCATCATAAATGTATATCACTAGTAATAACAGATCTTCAAAATACAAAAGGCAAATAATTTCTTTGAGATCAATGTCCAGGAGTGTGATTGCTGGGTTATATGGTAAATATATGTTTAGTTTTTAAAGAAACAGACAAGCTTCTGACCCAGCAATTCCACTTCTGGGAATTTATCTGAAGAAACCAGAAACACTAATTTCAAAGAATATATGCACCCCTATGTTCACAGTGTGGTGATTGGGCAGGGGGTGGGATGGGGAAGTAGAGGGTGGGTAGAAGGACAAAGATTACATGGAAAAGTAGGAATTACAGGCAGGGGGAAGGTCACAGTGGTTGCAGGTTACAGGAAAGGGGTGTGCTTCCAGGACTAGGTTGTTTCAGCCAGGAGGCTGTAAATTCTTCCATAATGATGGGAAGTTCTCGGGACAGGAGAATTAGGAGAATGGACTGCATTCCAGTGTTAGCATTCCATGTCCTGGGGCGTACAGCTCTCAGCCAGGTTGGAATGTGCTTTCTCTAATCAGAATAGAACAATCACAGTTAACAGAGCCTGATTAATATTTCTTATAACTATAGCTATTCTCCATTATTCTATTTCTGCCCCTAACAATCTTAGTATTTACTATACTCTTATTATAGAATGTACTCTTTCTACTTTTGGAAAAAAAAAAAAAAAGTTTGGCCCTGACCAGTTTGGCTCAGTGGCTAGAGCGTGGGCCTGTGGACTGAAGGGTCCTAGGTTGATTAGGTCATGCTTTCTCTAATCAGAATAGAACAATCACAGTTAACAGAGCCTGATTAATATTTCTTATAACTATAGCTATTCTCCATTATTCTATTTCTGCCCCTAACAATCTTAGTATTTACTATACTGTTATTATAGAATGTACTCTTTCTACTTTAGCAAAAAAAAGCTTGCTGTCAAACAGTATGTCATGTTAAGCCAGCAGCAGCAGCAGCCTCATACATCGTTTTTACTGCCTGTTTGATTGCGTTATTTTTTTCTTGTGTTTGATTGGATTTAGGTCTACCACTTACGTTTCCTTTTTTTTTTCTTCTTTTTTTTAAGGGGGAAAAGCAATATCTATTGTTCTGAGTCTCTTCCCGGCGGTGCTGCTGAGCGTCACGCCCTTCTGAGTCTCTTCCCCAAGCAAGAAGTCTCTTCCCGGCGGTGCTGCTGAGCGTCACGCCAGAGCAGGAAAGTCTTCAGGGTCGTCCGGGTTTGGAGCAACTTCTTGTGTCACCACTTCTGCTCGGGGTCCATAGTTCTCTGTCCTTCCGATCCTCCCTGGCCTCCCCGTGTGCCACCTCTGGCTCCGCGCTCCGGATGGACGAGGGAGGGTACCAACATTAACCTCCCGCTGGGATGTGATGTCCCTGGCCGCCTTCGGAACACAGGGGCCTCATCCCCGCAGCCATCCTTTACTATGTCATCTCTCTATCGGGACTCGTGTGTCACCACTGTTTGGAAGGGACCGTTTACTCGGGTTTCCGGATGTTAAATTCAGGCTTCGGTCCGGTCTGTTCTTGAAGAGTTTTCCACTAATCTAGGGTCATCTCTTGAGCCTGAGTTTCTTCTTCTACCTCCAACTCAGTGTTAAAGGCTGGAGACCCCTCCTCCAGGGGGCCCGGCGACTCCTCCGCCACCCGGGGCTCCTCCATAGGCGCAGCTGGCTCCACGTCGCTGGTATCTTTCCCGGATCCCCAGGTGCGAACTCCACATCCACGCGTGATGTCTTCCGTTCTGGTCGCTATTTTACCATCCCCACCATAGCTCTCAAATTCCTGTTTTCCTCTTTGGTCAAAGCGATCAAAATCTCTGTTCCCAGGACCACCTCGGCCTCTGCTCCGCAGGCCCCCTCTTGGGCCTCCACGTCCTCGCAGGGGTCTGTCTGTCTGTCTGTCTCCATCAAACCTGCCCACTGGCGTTTCTCCTGTGACCTTCTCAGGGGTGAGGTCCGCCGGCCTCTCGGTCTCATGAGGTTGGGATTCCCTGTAGGATCTCTGCTCGGCTCTATCCAGCGTCACCTCTGTCCCCGCTATCGTTCCATCCCTGCTGCTCCCCTCTTCTAGGAGTTCGCTCCTGACCCGGGGGCCTCCGGGTGCCCGGCGGGGCCCCGGGGCTATCAGCCTGCTGCGCGCCAGGCAAGATCGCCATGCAGGCCTCCCCTGAGCTTGTCAGGTCAGCATGTGGCCCCTTTCATCCACATCAGGAACTTCGGCTGGAGACCCCTCCTCCAGGGGGCCCCGGGGACTCCTCCGCCACCGGGGGCTCCTCCATAGGCGCAGCTGGCTCACGTCACTGGTATCTTTCCCGGATCCCCAGGAGCGAACTCCACATCCACGCGTGATGTCTTCCGTTCTGGTCGCTATTTTACCATCCCCACCATAGCTCTCAAATTCCTGTTTTCCTCTTTGGTCAAAGCGATCAAAATCTCTGTTCCCAGGACCACCTCGGCCTCTGCTCCGCAGGCCCCCTCTTGGGCCTCCACGTCCTCGCAGGGGTCTGTCTCCATGTCTGTCTCCATCAAACCTGCCCACTGGTGTTTCTCCTGTGACCTTCTCAGGGGTGAGGTCCGCCGGCCTCTCGGTCTCATGAGGTTGGGATTCCTCCCGTGCAGCCCCCGCCGCCTGCCCAGCCCGTTTCCTTCTTTGAAAAAAATCCGCTTTAGCCCCAGCTGGTTTGGCTCAGTGAGGAGAGCAGGGGCCCTTGGACTGAAGGGTCTCAGGTTCCATTCCAGGCCTGATTGGGATGCCTGTGAGAGGCAACCAATCCATGTGTCTCTCTCACATCCATGATTCTCTCTCTCTCTGTCCTTCCCCTTCCCTTCCACTCTCTCTAAAAAAAATCAATGGAAAAAAGTATCCTCGGGTGAACATTAACACACACACAAAATCACTTTAATGTCTCTGTTGACCTTTTAACTATTCCTATTGGCTTTATTTTCTTCGTGGTTTCTCTTGATTTCCCACTTGAATGTTCCTTTTTATGAAGTACCTATTTGATTCTCTTGTCTATTGCGGTTGTCTGCCTAATTCTTAGTGATGAGTATGACTTCTTTATATATTACGGATACAAGATTCTTGAGGAATAATGTGTTACGAATATCTTCGCCCTCTATGTGGCTTGCCTTTTTACTCTCATAATGGTTTCTTTTGATTTAAAAAATGTTATAATTTTGCTGTTCTATATTCTAAGCCTTCATTTTTTCACCTGTAGAGATTATGATAGTATTTCACTCACAGAGTTGTTATGAGAATTAAGTAGAAGAACGCATGTACTCCTGGCACAAAGTGACACTCAGTGAATATTATTTTTACTCCTAGTGCCACCTGTTTCTCTCCCCTTCAAACCTTCCATTTTCTTCTGTTTCCTCTGTTTTGAATCTCGGAGAGAGCATGTTGTAACAGAAAAGGCTGGTCATTTGACCTTGACTCATTCTTAACTTTTCTATGCCAGTGGTTATTTGTAAAATGGGGTTTCCATCACCCTTGGGGTTCAATTTTTCCCTCTTTCCTATTGAACATTACTATGTACCAGCCACTAAAAGGGAAAAAAACAAAATTAGACACGACTCATTCTCACATGTCGATCTCATGACCCCTCCCTCCTACTGAAATGAAACGTCAGTGCTACGACGGGAGAGAAGTGGTTCACTTTACCACCTCGCTCCAGAGAACAGCATGCCTGTTTCCCCGGCGAGCCTCAGCCTCATCTTTCTCCTCTGCCAGCTCACAGGTGAGTCCAGCAGATGCTCCTCTTCTCCTGACTGCCTTTCCCATTAGGACAGCGGTTCTCAACCTGTGAGTCTCAAACAATGAAAATACATCCTGCAGATCAGATATTTACATTACGATTCATAACAGTAGCAAAATTAACAGTTATGAAGTAGCAACGAAAATAATTTTATGGTTGGGGGTCACCACAATATGAGGAACTGTATTAAAGGGTCGCGGCATTAGGAAGGTTGAGAACCACTGCATTAGGAGGTGTAACTCCAGGTCCTGGGTCCACTCTGGGGCTCTGACTCAGCTCAGGAGGCTCTGCTCCCTTATCTAATATTGCCTTTTACATCCTGTGGTCTCTGAATCACAGAGGCAGAAAGAGACTGAAGAGAGAGGAGAAGGACCATGGGGACCGGCTCCCCTTCTGAGTGTCCAGGGAAGGAAGGGCTAGAAGAAGTGGTGTTGGGTATCAGGAGGACCTGTGTTCTAATCACAACTTCTGCCACAGATTACCAGTAGATGAAGAATGTCATCTTCCCTGGACCTTAGCCCTCCCTCCCTTTGAGGACATTTTTAAAAACAAAATAATATTGTACAGGTGTATGTTTATTTTTTCATAAATATATATTTAGCCCTGGCCTGTGTGGCTCAGTGGTTAGAGTGTTGGTCTGCAAAGGGTCACAGGTTCGATTCCCAGTCAAGGGCACACAGTTGGGTTACAGATTCGATCCTTGATCCCTGGCCCTGCTTGGGGCTCATGGGGTTGGTAACCAATTAACGTGTCTCTCTTGCATCGATGTTTCTTCTTTCTTTCTTTCTTTTTCTCTCTCTCTCTCCCTCTCTCTCTCTCCTTCCTTCCCTCCCACTCTCTCTAAAAATCAACGGAAAAAATATTCTTAGGTGAGAATTATATTATATATATAAGATATTTCCTTTAAATATATTTATAAGATACTTATATATTGTATATTTAGAAATATATTTTTAAATGATTATGTAAAACAGTTATATTGGTGAAGGGAAACATTTTAATTTTATCTTTTTTTTTTATTGATGAGAGTATTACAGATCTCCCACCCCCGTCCCTATTGCTCCCCTCCACCCAGTTCCCGCTCCACCCCAGGCCTTCACCACCCTATTTTCTGTTTCCATTGGTAATACATATATACATATAAGATCTTTGGTTAACCTCTTCCTGCCCCCCACTCCCCTTCCCTCTGAGATATGTCAGTCTGTTCCATGTGTCCATACTTCTGGTTCTATTTTATTCATTAGTGTATTTTGTTCATTGGATTTCTTGTTTGTTTATTTTGACTTTTAAATACAATTGTTGATAGATTTGTATGTACTGCCATATTAGTGTTCATATTTTTTATCTTTTTCTTCTTCTTCCTCTCTTAAAGAATACCCTTCAATATTTCATGTAGTGCTGGTTTTGTGGTGATCAACTCCTTTAGCTTTTTCTTGTCCGTAAATTTTAATTCTCTTTATCTGAATTTCAATTCTAAATAATAGCTTTGCTGGGTAAAGTAATCTTGGTTGTAGGTTCTTGCTTTTCATCACTTTGAATATTTCTTGGCACTCCTTTCTGGCCTGCAAAGTTTCTGTTGAGAAATCAGCTGACAGTCATATGGGCACTCCCTGTGGGTAACTAACTGCTTTTCTCCTGCTGCTTTTAAGATTCTCTCTTTGTCTTTATCCCTTGGCATTTTAATTGTGATGTAACTTGGCATGGGCCTCTTTGAGTTCATGTTGTTTGTGACTCTCTGTGCTTCCTGGACTTGTAAGTCTATTTCTTTCACCAGATAGGGGAAGTTTTCTGTCATTATTTCTTCAAATAGGTTTTCATTATGTTGTGCTCGCTCTTCTCCTTCTGGTACCCCACAATGCGAATATTGTTGTGCTTGAAGTTGTCCCAAAGGCTCCTTACACTATCTTCATAGTATTGGATTCTTTTTTCTTTTTGCTTTTCTGATTGGGTGTCTTTTGCTTCTTCATATTTCACATAGTTGAATTGATTCTCGGACTCCTCTACTCTACTGTTAAGTTCCCGTAAATTCTTCTTTATTTCAGTTAGTATTTGCTTAATGTCTGGCTGGTCCTTTTTTATGTCTTTGAAATTCTCACAGATTTTTGAAAGTCTCACTCAGTCCCTTGAAGCTGTCATTAAGTCCACTGAAGCTTGCATTAAGATCCTTGAGCAACCTTCTAGCCATTGTTTTGAACTCGGTATCTAGTAGTTTGTTTGCTTTCATTTCTTTCAATTGTGACATGTTTCCTTGAGCTGCTTCCCTGTGTTTGTTTCTCTATATTAGGTAGATCTGATATGTCTCCCAGACTTGGAAAAGTGGCCTTGTGTAGTAGGTGTCCTGTAGGGTCCAGTGGCTCAACCTCCCCAGTCAGCTGAGCTGGGCACTCTAGGTGTGCCCCTGTGTGGGCTGTGTGCACAGTCTTGTTGTGGTTGAGCCTTGATTGCCATTGGCATCACTGGAAGGAATTGGCCTCCAGGCCAATTGGCTGTGAGGACCAGCTGTGACAGGAGACACCCTATGGAGCAGGACTTTAGTGGGGCTTTGGTGCCTACTGAGTTTGCCCCTTGAATATGTTGCTTGTGGATGTGTAGAGTTGTAATCTGGTATGGTCTGAAGCTGTCTGCCAGGTTCACTGGCTCTGGGGCCTCCAGGGAGGTGCAAAGTCAGCCACTGCCTGGGGTCATCCAGTGGGAGCTACAGAGAGATCTGCAGATGGCTGCTATTTGTATTGGGCTAGAAAGTGTCCAGGTGAGGCCCAGCTGTGAAATAAGGCAGGTTGGTGCTAGGTCTTAGGCCTATTATTGAAAGGTTTGGGGCACGTTGACTCCAGCTGCTACTTGTTTAGAGATTTTAGAAAAGTCTGAAACCTGAGCCAGGACAGGCGATTCATATGAAAAAGTAGCTGCAAACAGCTTGGGTGGGGTTGCAAATTGGATGAGGCGGGGTCTCAGGGAATCACCAGGGTGGAGCGAACTGTGTGGACCATGCTGATGAAGCCTCGGATATGGCCACCAGTCAGCTTTGCGATGGAGGAGGTCCCAGCACAGGAACAATGACCCCTATGAGCACTCCTGTCTGGAAGAAAGCTGCCCCCAAACTCCCACCCGGCTAGACAGTTCAGTTCCTCTCCATATGTCACTGGATTCCCCCAAAGCCACTACCTGGTGCTGGAGCTCAGAGGAAGTGGAACCATGTAAGTTTATTGGGCCTTTTAAGAGGAACACCTGACACTTCAGCAGCCTTCATGTCAGTCAGCCACAGTCCCCGCTGGTTTTTATAGCCAGAAGTTACAGGGACTTATTTTCCCAGCTCTGGACTCTGGGCTGGGGGTCTGGTGTGGGGCTAGGATCCCTTGCTTCTCTAGGTAGGCCTTGGAGCTATCCCTCTCAATTAAAGAAATGACACACAGGGGTGTCAGACCAGCCCATTCCCGGCCTCTGCCCCCTACTAGTCTCAATGAGCTTTCTTCTTTACTTCTCTAGTTGTAGGACGTCCATTCAGCCAGATTTCAGGCAGTTCTGAATGTTGGTTGTTCTGTATTTTAGTTGTAATTTTGATGTAGTTGTGGGAGGCATCATTTACCTAGGCCACCATCTTTGTTCTCTAATTTTATCTCTTAAACCAAATAATTTTGTTTGTTTTGTTAATCCTCATCCGAGGATATTCCATTGCCTTTATTTATTTATTTATTTTTTTAGAGAGAGAGTGGAAGGGAGGAGTATGGAGAGAGAGAGAGAGAGAGAGAGAGAGATCTATTGGTTGCTTCTCACACTTGTGAACCGGGTAGGTGCCCTTGGCTTGGAATCAAACCCCTAACCCTTCAGTGCACAGGCCCATGCTTTAACCACTGAGCTACACCAGCCAGGACTTAACCCAAGCAATCTAATCATTCCCTATGTAAAAAACAAACTCATATTGGCCCTAGCCAGTTTGGCTTATGGATAGAGCATCAGCCTGTGGACCAAAGTGTCCCAGGATCAATTCCAGTCAAGGGCACATACCTTGGTTTCAGGGCAACCAGTCGATGTGTTTCTCTCACATTGATGTTTCTCTTTGTCATTCCTTCTCTCTTCCACTCTCCCTAAAAATAATAATAATAATAATAATAATAATAATAATGGAAAAATATCCTAGGGTGAAGATTAACCAAAAAAAAAAAAAAGGAAGAAAAATTAAAATAACTCATATTGTAGGTACTTTGTGTTTAAGGCCATGAAGGACTGGAAACTTCCTCCACCTGTCACAATACTCTAGTCTGAACATTTTACTATCCTCAGGGATCTCAGAACCGATCAGGAGCTCCATAAGTTAGGAGTATACCTCTGGTCATCAGACTCCTGGGGGGCCTCCAGCAGATGTCTCTCTGAAGATCTGACAGAACTGATTTGTTTACATGAGCCCCAAGCCTGCGTGAAGAGATCTGCCCAAGACCAAACCCAGTCCTTTCTTCCCCACCACCTGGCCTCACCAACTGTTCAGCCTGAGCGGATACTCGCCCTCCTTGAGTTCATTAGAAGTTTATATGTTTAGGAAGCCCCTGGTTCTAAGCAGTTAATCCTAAAATGGGTTCTCACCTTATAAACTTTCCCCCTGAACAGAAATGGTGATTAAAGTGAGACTTAGAGAAGGGGAAGTGGGAGAGGACATGGCAGGGACTTACCTAAAACCTGAACTGTGGGCAGACTTAGGGGGGATAGGTTAAGGGGTGGAGCTGATAACCCAAGTACAGGAAAGTGGCAAAGGGAGGGAGCTCTTTCTACTATGGAGGGCATCTTAAAGCGGACTCCTCTGATACCAAAAATATCAGTGTCTTGGCTAAAGAAGAAGGCAAAGTGTCTCCTGCCCCAGCTCCCTTCACCTCTGAAGGCAGGAATATTAGTGAATATTCCCTGCATGGTGTGAAGTAATCAGCGACTGGTCTATAGGCATCAGGTTCCAGACCAATCTTCTGAAAAGCTTACCTTGCCAAGAAGCTATGCCA